CCCTAAGCCCAAAACCAGGGGCCCTAAACCCTAACACCTAAGCCCTAAACCAGGGGTTTAGGGGTCTAGGGTTTAAGGGCCCCGCAAACACGCCGACGACAAACTCCCCCAAACTGCGAAGCCGCGGGCCTCGGGGCTGGGTATGCTTATGAGCTCAGGCTAAGGGTTTAGGGTTTAGGGTTTACGCTAGGGACCATGCCGAATGGTAAGCTACTTTGATGTTCTCGGGATCTGTTTTAGTTTTTTGAAGGACCGAAACGCCAAGACATTATTGATCATGTTAGTTCTATTCTGGTTCCAAGGGCACTCACGGCTAATGACGGCAGCAACTATGATTAAAATGAGCACATAGGTAGGAGTGGCAATGGTAGTCTAGTGATTCGTCCAATAGCAATGGTAGCTGGGCTTGGTGATGCATGTTGTATAGATACGTAACAGGATGCATGATCTCTAGCCGCTCACATGAGCGGCGATGTGCAAGAAACAGCTTCTTCATCTCCCTCTGTCTGTCTCTCTCGCGCATACATGCGTGCATATACATTAATATGTTTGAACACTACATTCCCCTGTTCTGTCATTCAGAAGTGTTAGTAAGCGCACAGCGGTAGATGGCGGAGATCCAGCGCTGGATAACTGCAGCTCGATTGGTTCAGTTTCTGAGGGGTGCAGACTTCCCGCCTTTGGCCTTCGAGGCCCTTAGCACTAAGTCGTAGAACCTTAGTTGAACTCCAATTAGATTGAACCTTAAACCCGATAAGCTAAGAGGATTCCAGTGCACACCCGTGGAACTTATGGTCCTGAGTTCCGAATGAGATTGATTTCTGGTTTAAGGTTTAAGAATTAGGATTGTCGGTTTGGGTCCAGGTCGCGCTTCACGCCGTAATCAAGCACAAAACCCTAAGCCCTAAACCCTAAGCCCTAAACCTAAACTCTAAACCCTAAACCCTAAACCCTAAACCCTAAACTCCGTACCTACATCATGGGCACAAGTTGAAGGCCTGGTGGGCTTTGAGAGCCTCTCCGTGCTGGACTGGGGGCAGGGTTTGGCGCGGCCCTTACAGAGTGTAGTGAGGGTTTCGGGTTTAGGGTTTAAGGCTTAAGGGTTTTAGGGGGTTTGGGTTTAGGATTTTAGGGTTTAGGGTTTAGGATTTAAGGGTTTTAGGGGGTCTGGGTTTAGGATTTAGGGTTTCGGGTTTAGGATTTAAGGGTTTTAGGGGGTTTGGGTTTAGGATTTCGGGTTTCGGGTTTAGGATTTAAGGGTTTTAGGGGATTTGGGTTTGGGTTTAGGTTTAGGTTTGAGGGTTCAGGTTTGGCGCGGCCATTACTGTAGGTTGGGGTTTCGAGTCTGGGGGGTGTTTGCTGAAGCTTCTTGAACTTCTGGACTCGGGCAGCCTGTTTTCCTTTTCCCTTCTTGTCCCGACTTCTGGCTGTCTTATGGTGTTCGGAGTATCCTGTCGAGCTAGCTGATGCGCCGCTTCCACTGCTACAGTTGCGATTGCTGCCATCTGCACCACCGCCACCGCCACCGACTGCTTCGGCGACAGTCACCTACGTCACCTGCACTATCGCGACACCGGCATCGACGACAAAGTATAGCCGGAATTGGCAGTGAGAACGTGGGATGCACGCTGTCGGACTTGATGTATTTCGGGGTGTTCCTTGAATCGAGACTGGGCCCAGGGATGCCCCGGGGATGTAGTGGTTTCGTAGTTGCTTTTTCATCCCAGGAGTCACCGGCCCTGTGAAGCAATAGAACCTATCTCTCTCTTTGTGTCATGCCTGCAGTTACAGCTGTTGTGTTGTTCAGTCTCATCATGCATGTTTCTAAAAGCCCATGCTCCCATGTCTCTGTGTCTGTGCACGGAGGTATTCTCACTTCAATAGCTAAACCACCCTGAGGCTAAACCGGCTAAACAGCTTCTTCAGGTTCGACTGCAGAGATGCGAGCTCACTTTCACCCTCTGTTTGGATGGGGTGATATTTTTGCAAGAAATGTAGGGTTCAGGGTTTCACTGCAGTGTCTGGTTGATGGTTTCGGGTTGAGGGCGAGGCTTGAGGATCTAGTTCTTTTCTGCAGAGTGGCTCGTGTCCTTCTAAACTGCAAGATAAGCAGAACATCCCAAGATCCGAAACTCCACTTCCTAAACCATGAAATTCCACAAAACCCACAACCCGAACCCCCACCCCTCAAAAACAATCGCAACTCAAACCCTCAATCCCTAAACCCTCAACCCTAAACCCTAAACACTAAATCCTAAACCCTAAAACCCTAAACCCTAAACCCTAAACCCCAAAGCCTAAACCCTAAACCCTAAAGCCCTAAACCACAGATCCGACCCGAGGTCAATGGCGAGCCTGTGGGTCGGATCCTCGAGGAGAACGTGCTGAGTCAGACGGTGCGCCTCTGAGTTGCTCGCCGAACTGCTCCCAGGGTTTAGGGGTTTAGGGGTTTAGGGGTTGAGGGTTTTAGGGTTTAGGGGTTTAGGGTTGAGGGTTTTAGGGTTTAGGGTTTAGGGTTTTAGGGTTTTGGGTTTAGGCGTTTAGGGGTTTAGGGTTTAGGGTTCAGCCCTAAACCCTGAGCCCTAAGCCCTAAACCCCAAAGCCCCTGATCTAGGGGCCCTAATAATTAGAATAGGGTTTTGGGGTATATTATACTATAGCTTATAGTAAGGAACACCCAAAACCCTATTCTAACTGTTAAGGCCCCAACCCCAATCCCTAAACCTTAAACCCCAAACCCCAAACCCCAAACCCCAAACCCTAAACCCCAAACCCTAAACCCTGAACCCCAAACCCTAAACTCCAAACCCCCTGAGCTCCTTGAAGGATTGCGATCTCCTCAGCTTCGCGGGTTCCTCTGCACTCGTTACGGTGCGGTGGCCGAGCCCTTAGAGAAGGGCAGACGTCGGTTTAGGGTTTACGCTTTAGGGTTTAGTAGGGTTTAGGGGTTTAGGGTTTAGGGGTTTAGGGTTTAATTCTGTCGTAGTAGCTGTGGGTTTCAGGGTTTCAGAAAGGAGCGCAGTGGGGCCCTTGTTTTTCCACGCACAAGGTTTTGCGATGTTTGTGGATAGTCGCCTAAAGTTTCCGTTTTGGAACTTCGCAAGGAAAAACGGCTTCACATGTACACCCTCTAGCGTTTGGAGATTGGGAGAGTTTAGAGCCTAGGGGGATTCCTTGTTGACTGAATCACCCGAGAGTAGCGCAAGAGCATTCACGTTTGTCTACTCTGCAAGCCCTGCAAGCTCCCAGCTTGCTTGCTGACCCACCAGTGTCTGGCCCGGAAGTTTGCTGTTCTGGACTAAGGTTACTGTACCTGGGTGCCAATGCAGAGGTGGCGGATGGCAACAACACCAGCGCACTTCATGCTGCTGATGGCTCAGCTGCTGGGAATTCCGGTGCAAGGATGCAGTGCGCAGTTGTGCATCCTCCGCTGCACTTGCCAGGCTTGCCGTTCAGGTTCGTTGGTCTTGGTGCTGGGAGCTTACCCGAAAGCTGCACCCGAACCCTGACTAAAGTCTCGTTGGCCCAGATGGACAGCTAAGGAAACAGTTCATCAAGCAGACGGTGCTGTTGAACAGTCAAGATGTGCCGCTGCGCGATTTCTCAAGTGACTCAAGTGTTTTGTGATGAAGGGAGTCCAGAAGCCTAGAGGCTTTGCCCCACCTTGCCCCAAAAGAATCTTCGCCGGAGCCAAGTGCGAGGAGACCTGAAGATGATAGAGCTGGGAAGCCTTGCAGGAAAGTTCTGAAAGCTTAGGCCCCGAATCCGGTACCCTAAAAACGGCAGGTGGCTGGATGGACTCCGCTACATATTGCTGCCCATATGGGTCGCAAAGCGGTCGCCCTGCGATTGCTTCAGGCAGGAGGGCAAGCGGAGACAGAGGCATGAGCCACGTTGAATCCTCAACGTCATCTTCACTATCACTATCAACATTACCTCGCTCATAGACGAGCAGTGCTAGTGACAGTAGCAGTCTAACCAATGGTTGTGGCGATCGTCGTCAGTAGCAGCAGCAGCAGCAGCAGCAGTAGAAGCAGTGGCAGGAGCAGTTGAATTCACGCAGCATTCGCAGTAGCAGCAGCCGTAGCAGTAGCAGTAGAGTAAGAATAGGAGTAGCAGTAGCGGTAGTAGTGGTGGTAGTAGTAGTAGTAGTAGCACTAAAAGTAACAGTCGTCGTCGTAGTAGTAGTAGTAGTAGTAGTAGTAGTAGTAGCAGTAGTAGTAGTAGTAGTAGTAGTAGTAGCACTAAAAGTAGCAGTCGTAGTAGTAGTAGTAGTAGTAGTAGTAGTAGTAGTATTAGCAGTAGTAGTAGGCCATGGTGAGGAACAAAGTTTCTGGTACCATCAATGATGATGGCAGATGTAAATCAAGAGGAACAACAGCTCCATGGTGACGTTAGATAAAGCCGTGAGACCGGATCGACTATATGATTAATCATGGCGCACAAACCTACATCCAACCGGCAAATTGACGCAGATGGCAACGGTAACGATAGTATGGCCATCGCCACTACCATCATAGTAGTGTTAGTGACGCTTCGTTGGAAAAGTTAAATGTAGTTATGTTGCCATATCCCACAGCATTGCGATGTTCATGCCTTCTCATGCCCGGCACCATCAGATGGCATCGTGTTGTTTCCCATCCTGCCATTTTACAATTACTACAACTGGAATGGCCTGGCACAATAGTCATGTCGTCATCGGTATCATCATCCTCATAATCAACATCATCAACATCATCATCACATAGCCATCATCGTCATCAACAACATCATCATCATCACATAACCATCCTTATCATCGTCATTACCATCGCCATCACCACCACCACCATCATAATAATCACCACCACCACCACCATCATCGTCATGATCATCATGCTGCTGCTGTTGCTGCTGCTGCTGCTGCTGCTGTTGCTGTTGCTGTTGCTGTTGCTGTTGGGGCTGGGGCCGGCGCTGGGGCTGGGGCTGGCGCTGGGTCTGGCACTGGGTGTAGCGCTGTTGCTGCTGCTGCTGCCGTCGTTATTGGCCCTGCAGCCGCAGCTGCCGCTGCCGCTGCCATTGCCATTGCCATTGCCGTTGTCGTCGTTGTTGTTGTCGTAGTAGTAGTAGTAGTAGCAGCACTAAAAGTAGCAGTCGTAGTAGTAGTAGTAGTAGTAGTAGTTGTTGTTGTTGTTGTTGTTGCTGTTGTTGTTGTTGTTGTTGTTGCTGTTGTTGTGGTTGTTGTTGTGTTGGCTGTTTGTCGTTGTTGTCTTCCTTGGCTGATTGATCTTGTGATGAATTCATGACTATAGGAGGAACTGACTAGCAACATGAACAGCAAAAAGACAATGAGCAGCGACAACAAAAAATGCCCTGTGCTGTGCACTCGTTCAAAACATCTGGAGCATTGCCTTGGGAAAGGTTTCGCCAGCCGTTTTGAAGAAGGAGTGGAAACCCTGACCCTGAACCATAAACCCTAACCCCCC